TCAAGACCTGTAACATAAGCATTCTTTGTAGAAGCCTCATTTTGCCATTTGGATCTCAAATCTTTGTCTTTGAATCAGTATTCAGCATCATGACAAAACGAAATGAAACTGTGTTTCTGCACTGCACTTTCACTTTCACAAACAGCATAATCGATGGTAATTACGTTTTTGCAAAATAAAAATTATTTTTTTAGCATTAAAAATCATTTGCCTTTGTTTCGAAAATGTGTGGTCGACGGAATGGTTTAGAATCGCGAAAGTCATCAAAGATCTCGCTATGAAACGTTTGGGTATGAACATCATCTCACCATCTCAATTTAGCAATTGCATTTTAGCTAGCAACAGCTTTTGGTCGTTTCTTGATCTTGCGATATCGTCTAGGACACCGCTCAGGATAATTTTAAGACCATTTGTCATTCACAAGGTATTTATTATGGTTTACCGTTGTTTGAATTAATTCCACGTTAAACCATTCACAGTGCACATTTCAAGCCGTAGTATGCTGAAGATTTGACGGGTTTTTTGGTAGCTTCTACCAGTAATAAATTAGTACTTCTCATAACCAATAAATTGCATTTTAAAGTATGTAGCTTTTGTACTTTGAAGTTATTTTATGATCTAGCAAGTCTCCGAGTTTAAATTACTACTCGGTTAATGTTTTGAGTCTGGCCCAGACTTAAAGTCAATTAAAACAAAGTCATTTTAATCCAAGTATCAGGTTATGCCGAGAGGATTTTCAGATGGAGACTTCGCATATACGCCTTTCTGTTGATTACAGACAATAGCTTTCTTCATTTCGATCAGTGTTCATAAAGTGGTTATTCGTTTCTTATGGATACGAATTCTAAAACTTGGAAGAGAGGTTGGAACCTGTTATTCTTGTTATTTTTGGTCAACCAGTGGACCAGTTTATTGTTCATCAAAGCACTTCACGGTTTTCGCAGCTAGCACTGCATATTTTAAAGAATGCATTTGATATGTTGCTTACGATTGGCTAGGGCTGTTGCATAATCCGATGTTTTGCTCCTGCACCAGTTGTCTATGCTCCGTGCGTAATAGTAAGAAAACTTGTAAAGATTAGTGAATTTCTCTATGCTTTCTCTTTAGCCACTGTTTCTTACTTCAGTAGTGCGTTGATCACCATGTCGAGAAAGCGTGGTTAGAAACAATTGGAAAGCTTATTACCTATGTTTCCAACTAATTGCATTACAACTTTAAGGTTAAGTATTTTCGTCGCTATCATAGGTAGTGCTTTCATGTATCAGTTCTCTTCCGTATATTAGTCTTGTTGAATGTGAATGTAGAATACAGAATGTATCTTGTAGAATGCAAAGAAAACGAATCATTAAAAAACATGGTTTGGTAAAATGTCAGAAAGCAGCGGCGGTTTGAATGATGAATATGCCTCATACTCTTTGATTCGTTGACTAGGACAGCAGTAAACTATGTGGATTCTATTTCGGATTGGCTACATTTCCGTACTACTGTTTTCAGTTTGTTAGAGATGTTTGCAAACGTATGTCTGCTAAACTTGTGTAGATTAAAGTTCGAGCATGGATGTTGCTGTAAAATGATATTGTAGACCTGATACTTTAACGGCAGCGTGAGAGAATGTGGTGTAGTCTAATCTCCATGTGCCCACGATGTTCAGAGCCACCTTTAAAACTTCTTTTCAAGCAGAATATGCAACTCTTTCAGCCTTTGAGCGAATTGTAATGCCATCACCTCCGCCACCTAATGCATTACACGGACCGAGGAGGCATCTGGAAGAAATACCAGAGGCCGGTAGATGAAAGGAATTGGAATTATGCAACATACGACAAGTTTTTGTTTCACACGCTGAGCGACTTTTACAGCTAAATGTTTTCGCACGCAGTGCGATCGCTTTTGATGCTTAAGTTTTATCACGGTAACGAGACCTCTGAAGGCAATCATCGATGACAGCTCCTCGTTATTTGACATACTTCATCCCAGAAGATAACGTTACTGTCTACGACGACGTTCTGACCAGCCGCAAAGAGTAACAAAGCTGGATTGTTGAGGATCTTAGTAACAAATACCAGCTTATGAGTTTTCTGGACATTTAAGTGTAGTCCGTTTCTAGCTGAGAAATCTCTGATCACTCAAATCGATCGTTAATAAGAATCAATGTCACGTTGTTTTTAATAAACAGTAATGGGGCGGTATAATCAGCGTATTTTTAAGCACAGAGATGGAATGACCATCAAGCAGTTACTAATGAATTAAGCATATAGCTGAAGCGATAGAAGAGCTCCCTTAAGGCTACATAGGTTGTTAGCTGTGATAGCCAATTTCTTATTACCTAGGTATATGAATTGTATTCTTTTAGAAAGAGAGTTGACCTTTCAGCAGATTGTGAACCGACTGATGCCCAATCCGGATAGTTTAGTTATAAGGAGGATGCACTGTACGTCACTGAACGCGTTGAAATAGTAAGACAAAGTGCTGCTTGTGAAATTACTCCACTCTCGAAACATTAATCAATGGCATTGGTGAAGCTACGCAACTCAGGACATCACATATGCCACTTTTAGTCTTATAACCAAATTAATATGGGTCTACGTACGGCACAGTTGCCTATAGTTTTTAGTTTATTTGAAGATTTCGAGTGTTACCGACATAACTGACACTGGCATAAACGCTGCGAGGCAGGTTCAACGGCAGTTTTTCTTTGAAACGGAGATCACGCGTGTTATACTCGGAAAAGGGAATGATAAACTTTGACATGCAGCGATTATTGATTCCACAGAACTCATCACAAATTGCGAAGAGCAGTGTTAAGGCAGTGTAGAACTCATAACAGAATCGACATCCGAAGGAACGCATCTTGGAAAAGCAGTATTTCGCCTGTGCGGATGTAAACTGAACAGATTCGCTGAAACCACTCGAAATAGGTGGTTCTGGTCTTTGTCAACGCGTTTCTCAACCTCAACCATTTAAAGTTTTGAGGTCAACGGACTTCATGTTGTATCAGTGGTCTCGAGGAGATCAGCTGTTGAAAGCATCTGACGCGCCAGTGCTGCTAGAGCGGTCGGTCTCCGTCCGAATTTGTAGAGATAAATCTGACTAGAGCGATCCTACTTTGAACCCCGTTTCTTTAGCTGTTCTTAGACTACGTAAAAGTAGTAGAGGTCATCCGATGCGAGTTAACGAGCACTTCTAATAGCAGACAAAACTTTTTCAAATTGATGTTAGATATTCCTCAAAGTTAAGAACGTGATATTTAGTCCTTGATGTTGCAGTCTTCTCCAGTCCGTTACCTGCAGTTCATTCTTGAGCAAGTGAAAGTGCTTGGCTCGGGCATCTCTCACGCATGCCTAATGACGATCTCTTTTAATCAGATAGTTTTCATTATAACAGTAAACTTTTAGACATCCAGCGATGATACAGTGGTCAACGAGGCGTAAAACAGTATGTGCGCATGCTCTAACTTATGATGGCACGTTCGTAAGTACGAACTCCAGTCAGTGCATAGAGAGAATGGTTTGTCCACAAGCAACACGGCTACAAACCCGAAAGTCCAAAGCTATAACCCATGGGACACGGATGATCTGTTAGTGGAACCGAGAAGAAAAGTCATAAAGGAAGACTACCAAATTAAGTACATCGATTCAATCATCTCCACCGAATTCACAGCCCAGTTAGAGTTTAATAGGAAAATCGCCATAGCCTCGTGTGCATATGTAAAACTGTCTAGTATTTGAGTTGAGAAAGCTGTAGGCATCTACTTGCACATCGCCTCTGACACGCCAATGTTGTACGGTATGGAATCAGTTGATCTAACAAAGGAGCAGCAACGACGATTGCATTGTGTACAACAATGTTGGCTTCATGGCATCTTGGTCGTTAACTTCAGGGCCACGTAATGAACGAGTATACCTCTTCCGGGTGCATGTATGCTTGGTTGATGAGAAGATCAATAAAAGAAGTCGACTCTGCGGTTGAGGATGATCCATTTATTTAATCAGGTGAGTTTCTAATGTAGGAGCTGAAACAGAGAGACGTAGGCCAACAGACCATGCAACACTGACGAATGAGGCGCAGGTAGGTCTGCTTTGAATGAGGAATTCTTCCTTCTACGATATAGAAAGCGGTGCTTTATGACATAAGTGTTGTATAAATGTGAATTCAGTGGATATCCACCAGATGCATTATGCTTATGCAAATGGTTCGAGTTAATGATCACACTTACAAATTTGTTAAAGATATGATCTCCGATATTCACAGTGGTTAAATCGACATCTTGTTCATTCGAAACTCTGTATTAGGATTTGCGTCGATCATATCGATAGTTTATAGATAACTGAGGAAGCGGTGAAATTCGGTTGGGTCTCTATATTTTATTGATCATCGCATTGAATAGTCAATAGAAACTGCTGCTCGTTTCATGGCTAGGCGTTGTGAATCACCGTCAGATAATAATAACCTAGCTCAGTCGAATTAGTGGTTAAGAAAAGAGATGCTTTCGCTCATGCGATTCGAATCTAACACTTAAGTCTAAGATATCTCACGGCTTCTGTCGCCGGAGAATTGAAAGTGCCCTTCACTGATATTGATAACCATCATCATCATGCCACACATTAATATTGTCGGTATTTTAACCGGTTACCACATCCATTCAGCTGTCGGACCCGGTCATTGTTGATCTTATGTGTGATGGTGGCATCGTTTGAATTTGAATTGTTTGAAGGTAAATCTGTTTCACATTTGTGACGCTTTAGTAAAACAATTTCTACGATCTCTCCAAAATTCACCGTGCAGAAGATTTCGACTGTGATTGCTAGAGACGAGACTGTTTTTTTTTATTGGCCGATTTCTTGAAATCATTGTGCAGTTCATTTTTGACTTTATGCATGATAAGATGACGAACCTCGCCTCATGCATATGCAGTTGATTATTTTTTTCGCAGTCGTTTTACGCATGACAGGCAGTTGCATAGCACGTTTCATCTTAGGTATTTTTAGAGGCATATGAATATCATGAGTATGGTAACTAACAGCCGTTTTGTCTTTCAGTAATATATTCTTTGTTTGTTTTGTCAGCTACTAACGTTAAAGCCGCAATCTGAGATGGAGGCTCACTGGCAAGAAACCATCAGGGACCATCTTAAGGCACAGCACACCTTCACAGTCAGTTCTAACGTCTACCTCCTGCAGCTGTACAACGAATGGAAAGGATTAAAGGAAGAACTTTCAACCAAAACATTAGGTAAGAACGGAAATGTTTAATATGGAAAGAGTTGCTGTTTTGGTTTAACTTCTTAAGTACAATTTTTTGTTTGCTACTGCATATTTTTGCTCTTAATCGCTTATTGTGTGTCATATCTGGTAAGCCAGGCCTTCAAATTTATGTTGAAATGAAATTATCCCATTCGTTAAAACATAACTTCTGTGCAACTGATATGAATATTTATTCATCTCTAACACGTGAAATGATGATTAATCACAGATCAGAATATGGCTCGTATTCAAATTTTCACAATAGCAGCTGAAACGCTGGTGGAGCTAAATTTGATTTCAGTACATGGCCGAATTCTCCAAGTGTGAATGCCTCAAAATGTAATTGAAGTGATTTCTCAAGTGATTGTGACATGCTTCGATCAGATCCACCTTGGAATCTGCCTAAAAGGGCTCTTTTGGGAGTTGAATGTCAATTTTTCTGTGTCCTCACATATTCCCCAAAATTGTGGTCATAGAGTGGATCATGCGAGCGGCGGGGACCATATGTCATGCGCAGACACATGAGATGTTTGAAAGTGCAAGCAGTCATTGTGCAGTTTTCTTTGCTAGAAATGATCATTCTAAGGAATGATACTTAAAGGATTTGCTAAATAACATGATTTTCATGAAACATTTCTTTTTTTTTCGTTAAATTTAGATTTTTAGCAGCCTCTGACAAAATGGCATTTAAGGAAGTCCATATTAAATACAACTATGCCTAGTGATTTTGCTGGCATCTTTCAGATACTCGATGCACTTCAGCTATCGATCAGAAACATGTGATTCTTGGTTGTGCAACTGAAATATCTCTATTTTTATCTTTTCTTCTAAGGAAAGAGGGTAATCATCGATCAGGAAAGAGGGTAATCATGTAATCAGGTTTAATCATGGATCAAACCTTGTTGGTCAGGTCTACTGCTTATGGACTTGTTTAAAGTTATCATTGCTAGTAGTCATTGTTCTTAGCCGTGGCACTTTTACGCCCCACTGAGAATTTAGACGACGATCATGCTCTTTATTGATAACTGCGCTGACGGTGCTGTTGCTGTTGTTACTGCTGCTGCCTCTGATGATAAGGATAACGCTCATGGTCATGCCGAGGACTTCGGCAACGATTGTGATAACGATGGTGAAGATGACAGTCTTGTTCTGTGTGATTATGACGACGACTTTCATAGTGATGATGATGTTGGTGGTGATGATCTTAAGCGAGTAATTAACTGCTGTTTTGGTCTTTCTCTAATCGAAACTAATAAGCATATTGCTGATCTATGACTAAATAGAGACGTGCTTAAGCCTGGCTAAAAAATAGGGGTTAGTATTAGTGTACATTATATTTATTGCGCCACATCTGTTTTAACAATTAATCCAGTTTTTTGTATCGCCATGTTTGCGTTTTTATTCTTAATTATGACAAAATGCAAGATTGCAAGTTTCTTCTACATTCCAGTTGGTGGCAAATTTTTTAAACTTTCAGACATCACTTACTTGTTTTTCTGCCTTAACATGATTTGCTGTTTTATGTTAGCTTCAGAAGGACGGTCGAACACCCCGACAATTGTCCCGGATTTTCACAGCGACTCCAGTAGCATGCAGTCGACGGCCGGACCGAATCGTCACCCTGAAATGCGTCGCAGCTCCGTCGATGTTCACTACCTGACATCCTCACTTCGGTTCTCGAGACTCTCTCCGACCTTCGCCAAGCGAACAAGTAAGCACCTGTAAAATAAAA